TGTCAAAATTATTTATCCTATTTTTAAATTGCCAATAAAATTTTTATTAAACAACTCAAAATTGCTTCGCTATAAAAGACTTTATTCTAAACACAATTTCTGCTATCGAAACATTTTCTATTTCTTAGTATTCCTTTAAGCTTCTTTTCTCTTTGTTTTTCTTGTTTTGTAGAAAAAGTAAATACAAAAGGCTGTATTTACTTTCAATTCAAAGAAAATTATCAATTATGATAGAAATGAAAAACGAATAAAAGTCCTTCTATTACCCAGGAGAATTTACTATATTTGCAAACTGTAAACATCTGTTTATTCAGAAAACGATAAAATACTTTGGCGCGAAGTTGCTTAAAATAATTTGTTATGAAAATTATTACTATATTTAAATATTCTGTAAATACGTAATATAATATAATAAATATAATAAAATATGTAATATAAGATAATATTTAAGAAGCTGCATAAAATATTTTTTTATAATTTCTTGAAAATTGGAACTATAGGAAATTGTGTAGAAATTTATGGATTCGAGTGCATAAATTCCTTTGCAATTTATAATTTAGACGATACTTAAATCAACTGACATCATTATTTCTATGGAGTATTTTTATTTTAATTAGGATATGAAAGTGGAGAAATTATAGCAAAACTAAAATAATCGTTATATTACATAAAAGTTAAATGTATTAATTACGTTTATAGATAAGGGAAAATCAAAAAGAGATATCAAGATAATTTTTAAGGCTCCCTGTCAATTGTTTCTAAGATATGAGTAAAACTAAAATAAGGAAGTTGATGAAGGATTTACGAAATGACGATAGATACAAAAAATATCAACGTAACAATACAGGATATCGAAAGTAGTTAAGCATAATCTTAACTACTTTCGATATCCAATAGCAAAGGGAAGTTTGCGTTGCATAACCGAATATCAAATTTCATGTTACAGCCTAAGAGACTAACATACTACACAAGTTATAATTTCGAATAAGGTGCACCACAAAAGTATAGAACCGCTCAAAAATTGGTCTTTTGAGGTTAGAACATTCACTGATAGAAATAGAATTTTTACGCGTAATTCAGCACCTAACTTATAAAAATGTAATTTTAGGAAAGGAGCTTTTAATTCGTGGTTGAGTGCGAAATAGCGATGAAGTCAATTTACATGCTGCCACATAAGTATAGAACCGCCATCTTTCTCGCAAGTTTGAAGTGTGAAAGTATTATTTTTTTCCATCATGCCTCGTGGTCCATCATGCCTATTTAAGACTTTTGAGAAAGGACAAATTGTAGCTTTGAGATGCACTAGTTTAAGTCATCAGGCAGTAGCAAACAGTATGAAGCGTTTGAAAAAGGTAGTTCAGTATTATTTGCAAATCCTGCAAATTATGGACCAAAGCGTAAAAGTGGATGTCCTTTAAAGCTTACCCCGCGAGACCGCAGACGAATTGTTAATGCAGTCTCTAATCCAACGCGTCCACGCATCAAATTCAGGACGATTTGGGTATTCAAGTACATCACGAAATCGTTCGAAGGGTTTTACACAACAACAACAACAACAACATTGTTCGGTCCCGAATGAGAAGTGTTCTGCTCTTAAGCCTGAGCACAAAGCTGCCCGACTCGATTTTGCTAGGAAAAATATGGCCACTCAATGGAATAAGGTAAGTTTTTTGTTTCGTTTAGACCTATCATGCTAGCACAAGAACAAGAACCTTTTTGTTATATACGTAATCTTTTCGGACGAAAAAAAATTTAATTTGGATAGGCCAGATAGTTTAGCGTTTTACTGGCGTGATTCACGAAAAGAGCCCAAGTATTTTTCGCGAAGAAACTTTGGTGGTGGGAGTGTTATGGTTTGGGGTGGTTTTTCTGCATTGGGAAAATTTGGATTTGGTATTCGTTACCTGTTGCATGAACAATGCCGACTATTAACAAGTTCTGGAGAACAAATTGTAGCCATATAAACGTAGATTCAGAAGAATTATTTTCCAACAGAACAAAGTATCTGTCCATGTGTCACGAGATACGAGTGGTTTGAAAATAAACTGATTTGCCAGTTCATTCTCCTGATTGCAACCCTATAGAAAACTTTTGGGGATCTTAGTTGGCCGAATTTATGACCCAAATCGTCAGTATGCCGACATTTAACAATTAAAACAGGCAATTGTCACTGCTTGGAACTCCCTTGAGGCATCGATCATTAAAAAAAATCTTTGTTGATAGCATGCTAAATCGCATTTTCGATGTTATTAGTAAGGGGTGCGCAAATAAATTACTAAATTAAACTATTTTGTAGTATTTAATGCCTTTTGCGTTCATTTACTAGTCGATTCTATAACTTTGTGGTGCTTAAAATCAGTTTTTTACAATTTCTGCTGTTTGCTGCTATATAGGAAACTGTGAGTTTCGACAAATTGTTTTCATAAATCCGGAACAATATAAGAAAGATAGCTACATCACACGTGAAATTCCTAATATTCGTTTAGTAAATTTGCAGCGGTTCTACACTTTTGTGGAGCACCTTATGCCTCGAAACCTCAAGGCATATTATCGAAAATAGTTATAGCTAGGCCTCAGATATCTTTAAAATATATATAAACGAATAAGCCACTCAATATTCCAAGAAATAAATATGGAAAATACGTTCAAAAATAATTTATTTCTAATAGAATTACTCAAAATTATCTCAATTGTAAAATATTGTGAAACTAAAATTAACCTAGCTCCTCAAAATTCACAAACAAACTTTTGTAAAGTTGATTATGAAAAAAATGAATATATAACAACTAGAAAAAAAAATAATTCTCGGTGACGAATTTAGAATATATACTGGATTTAGTGATAATAAAAGACTGATTTTTGTTTTTCTTACTTGTTAATATTGAAAAGATTTATACAGAATCTTTCAAAGTTCCAGAATTAATTACTTTATGAATGCTTGTTTACGAAACTGGAAAATTACATATCATGAATGGTGCAGTTGATTTTGAGGTATATATTGATATTTTGGGAATAGTTTTTATTCAAATAACTGGTGTTCAGTTTAAAATGAGATGATTTTTTTGTGATGAAAATGCTTTCAGATATTGAAGAATAAAATTATTTTTGCAAGAGTAATGCTTAAATAGAATAGATTAATTAACCATACAATTTACTTTCAATTCTATCAAAAAGCTACGATGGAAAGTCATACAGATTGTTAATTAAAAGTAGCTGACAAGTGAAAAATGAAGTTAAGGGTCATTACAAACTTGTGCAAAAATAAATTGTTATTCGAAGTCAAGATTAATTCAAGTTATAAGCTGGAATTATTCTTGGCTTAAGCACAAGATCAACAGTACATTAAAAATGGCTTTTGAATGCATGATTACATGAATTTTTTCGGGTGTTTACAAATAAAATTAAATAATGCAGTGTAATGATTATATTAATTTATTTCATATAGTTTAGTAATAAACAATACATTCTTTCCGACTAATGAGAACATTAAATAAAGAATAGTTTCTGTATATATTTTTTTCGAATTGTTACATTTTAAAATTTAATTAAATATCTGTAATGATTCCAAACTTCTAGAGATTTTCGGAAATTGCATATTTTAACATGACACAACAAAACCTTTAACAAATGTAAAACAATTGAAACAATATTAAAAAAAATTAGTGAAATGCTTCACATCTACACAAATCGTGGCGGAAATATGAATACTATACAAGTAATTGAAAGCGAATTGTGGAAGGAACGGAAAAAAGTTAAAAATTTTCCTTTTTGCAATTTTATTGTTTTGAAAATTATAGTTTTCATTCTAATATTGTAAGGAAATTTTTATTTTATTATTAAATTTTCCAAAAAATCTTTTTGAAATAAATTAATAATTTGCATTGATATATCCAATCAAATTATTCGAACATATTCGAATATTTCTAAATTTGTAAATAATTCAAAAATCAATATCATATAAATGAAATATTTCGTAAATAATTAGTTTTTTAACAGTTTCTTCATATATTTTGAATAAATTAAAATATAAATTATTTATGAAAATTCACAAACTTTTGAAAAATTTTTGCTATTGTAAGTTCGCCGATTTCCAGGGGGAATCGTTAATCCCGTGTCAGGATGATCTAGGGTCGTTCGCGTGTGGGTGTGGCGGAAGAGACACAGATGACAAGAATCTCACAAAAACCCGTTTATTTTAAACATAAAAGTAAACTTACACTAAGGTACAAAATTGTTCTTTACACAATTGGAGGTCGAAGTGTCGAAGGTGTTTCTACTGTGGCTCTAAGGAAGGCCCCGGGGCAACGGCAGGTGTGATTCGTCAGTCGGTGTCGGCGGTCTGAGTCCGTAGTCACTGGTTACAAGCAGGGCTGCGGAGTCNGGCTATTAAGTTCCTAAAACACATCGTGAACAAAATGGCACACTTCGAATATCAATTTCTCACCGAAATAATATATTATGTCAGAGATATGGTACATTCAGACCAATTAAAAACAATTTGTGTGTAGTGTACAATAACAAACTGTTTATATGGAAGTGTCACTACTTGTTATACTTTCAACACCTATTATAACAAGGTGACGGCTGGATGTTTGAGTGGTTATGACTTCAGTCTACTGCTCTGAGATCGAATTTGAGCTGTTGAAGAATCCAGGCCAATCTTACCTGATGTGTCGAGCAGGGCTGCAGAGTCGGTAATAAAAACACCCGACTCCGGATAATTTTAGTAGGCTGACTCCGACTCCAGCAAAATTAAATACAAAGTCATTATATGGGAGCAGAAACGCTCATAGGGAGGTATCCTACTCTGAACTGTGAAAGGAGAGCCCTGGGCATTTACCCAAATACTTTTATAGTTAGTATTTTTAATATTTAACTTACATTAATATTTATTTGTATAAAAAATTATTTCTAACAAATATTTAATAAGAGGAGAAAGGGAGCAATAAAATTCTACATTTACATATTTTTATTCTACAGCATATGCACTTCAATTTTACCTTTGCAGAAAAGTTAGTCCAAATAAAAAGTGTGCGATCTAGTTATTTTAGCCCCTTGTTCAGAAAAGAAAAATATATACTTTGATCACTTAGTCTGGCTCATTCAGAAAAATAGAATATTTATTTAGAGCAGAAATAATAAAAGAACGATTTAAAAATATTCAAGTTTAATTGGGTAAAAATAATTTAACTATTGATACTAAACACAAATACTACAATGAAAACTACATATTTAATAAATTAAATTGCTGCATTTTGTATTTAAAATAAATGAATTATAACAAAATACAAAACATTTTTAAAAATTAATAAGAAAATTTATTTTATATTTTCACTTAAATAAAAAAAACTAAATTACATTTATAATTTTGAATTTTATAAAATGGTTCTAAGAAACAAAATAGCTTCAATTAAATCTTCTTTCATAGATGCCCTTAAATCAGCTTTAATTATTTTCAAAGCTGAAAATAATCTTTCCACACTGACTTGTGTTGGGGGCATTGCTGTGACAGATCTAGCTGCATCGCGAATAATTTCTGGATAAATTGAAATAGCTTCTTCTACGTTCAATTTTGATAAACGGTCATACTTTTCTATTTCAATTAGCCCATTTAAAAAATTTTGTTCAAATTTTATTTTTTCAATTTCTGCCGGGTTAGTTTCTTGATTCGTTAAACGTCTTCGCTTCACTTTGAGACGTTCTAAACTATCCAAATATGCTTCGAAATCAAGCTCTTTTTTTGGAGATGATGATTCCGAGTTGTCATTACATTCATTATTTTTATTTTCATCTTTTGATTCATAAATGTAAGGTAACGGCAACTTTTTCAAGCGAATAGTACTTTCACGAAGCTTTTCTTTTCCTGAGGCAATTTGATTGTCATTTAGTAAAATTTGATTCATTGGATCAACGTAAATAGCGGCTAACAAGATTTTATTGTCTAACAACTGAATCTCTCTTTTTCTCATTGAAGATAAAATCACATTAGCAACAATTCCTCCAGTTTTGTTGAGCTGATGCATCAAAGTTTTCCACTGTAAGAAAAAATTTCCAGGTGTCAAATCTTCAGCTTGTAACTTTAGGGTGACAGTATAAAGATATGACAAGACACACTCTAATTTTTCTGTTTGTTTACATTGGTTTTCAGTTAATAAAACACTTGGATTGTCAAGGTCTTCAAGGAAGGTTTTCAATTCGAGCAACCGCTTAAGCATTAAATAAGTGCTTCCCCAGCAAGTAGATTGATCTAAAATAATTCCTTTTCTAGCACGCCTTCTCAGAATAGCATCTATTTTAGAGGTTCTAGCTACAGTAGCTACTTGTCTTAATTAATTTTGTAATGATTTTAGCTACCTGAGAGTCTTTTAATCCATCTCTTATTGCTAATTGCAACGTGTGAACAGCACATCGCATATGCTGGATTTGAAACATACTGGACGCTTCCTCCACAATATCATCTAAATATTCCTCTTTTTCTATTATAGGCTCGATTTGTGTGTCAATGGAGAATATTTCATGAATGTCTTCTAATGGAATCTCATTATCTTGATTCATTTTCTCAGTTATTTTTAACATATTCGAAGCATTATCTGTTACAATACACAAAATATTCTCCTTTTTAATTTTAAAATCTTCTAATACCTCTTGAACCAACTTCTGCAGATACTCTCCTGTGTGATGAGCCATAGTATCTTTTACTGCTAATGTCTTCGTAACAATTGTATTATTCTCATCAATAAATAAAACATCAATTGCAAAATAATTCACTCGATGACGAGTGCATGCATCCATTTTAATAAATATCAAGCGATCCTTCAGTCTTTTCCAGAGTTCATCTTTTTTCAAAACAGCCTCTTCAATTATAAGCCTTCTGATGTTTTCTCTATCTAGTGAAACTCCAAGTTTTCTCGCCATTTCACCGTTTAAGCCTAAAAAGGCTGGCCGTGAAAAAAAGATTAAAGGCACACTATCTTGCACCACCATTTCAATTATCAGATTTTTAAATTTTGCACCCGTCATTGTTACTGTAACTTTATCCGAAGCAAAGAATTTGCATACTTGTGTTTGTACTGAACTTAATTTTTGGATATTTTCTAATTTTAAAATAGATGAAGTGTTTCTACTGTTATCTTTTTCATTTACTTCTTGTAGAATTTTAGGATGTAGACGTTGCAAATGTCTTTTTAGATTACCTGCTCTTGTAGGTGCATTTTTTTTTTCAGAACTAGCAAAAGCGCTAATTTTTGCTTCACATACATGTTTGCCATCATCATTTTCTACAATGCATTTACACTGATAATATTTTCCATCCGTAGTAAGTTTATAATATTCAAAAACTGCAGACTTTGAATTTGAAAATACTTTCTTTTCCATTGTGAAATTGTGAAAGGGTAATTAGGTATCTAACAATATTTAAGTATATAAAATTAGATATAACTCTTAAAAATAATATGTAGATAAATATAATTCATACTTACAAGTCACAAGTAAAATAATCTGAACTTGAGAATCGTAGTAAAAACCCTTTAAGTACTTTTTTCCGAGTTAACCCAGGTTAGACAAAAAGGACGCAAGTACGAATCCTGAATTAATCCTGAATCGGACAAGGAAGTCGGTCTCCCTCAGAGAAATAGTAGTAATGACCAAACAGCATGTGTTCATATTGGGATTATTCCTGGAACTACTGCACACCTTACTAGAACACCGATTCCCCTCGAAGTCTACGTAAGAACGTCCCGCGAAAGTTCACCAAGCAGCTGGCTAAAGGTCAAATAGTTGTAAATTTTGGAGACCCCAGTGTCTCGTTACAACTTGTTTTTAATGCAATAAAATGACAAAAAAGCATCTCTAACGATATATTTATTTTAAATTATTTCACATTATTTTAATATTTTTACTATAAAATTGCGTTGGGGTGAAATTTTTTGCAGATATTTTTACATTTTAATTTTTCTATGGAAAACAAAAAAAGAGAAATGCCGGAGTCGACACATTTTTTTCCGACTCCAACTCCTCTAGCCAGAAATTCCTCCCGACTAAGACTCCACAGCCTTGGTGTCGAGTCCCGTCCTCATACAGTCCACCAGTCCACATTGTGGATCTTCAGAAACCAAGGATGGGTAAGATTAAAACAGCCCTTTCTTAGTGCCCTCCATATACAAAACAAAACAAAAACTCACCAGCTGCCATATTGCAAGTGTGACGAAATATACGATGAGCACAAAGATCTTTAATGATCTTAGGTAAGAATTACTAATATTGAAATATGAACGAGAATTGTGCGCAGATAATTTCTTACCATATTAAACTTCCAGAGATTTAACAGAAAAATTCGATTATTGATGCTAATGTGTGAAATTCCATCTAATCTATACAAGGTGTGATTACCAGAGCCCCTTCGGCCACTAATTTAAAGTGTTTTAATCTTTAAAATTGGCGTTTCCACTTCCCAGAACGAGGATCCAGGGGTTGGATTTGTGGGAAGAGAGTGTTTGGGTTTCATTGTGTCGAATTACACAGAATGAGGCACTTGATATGTAAGTGTGTGAGTGCAAGAATTCAAGTAAAGATTAAACGGTGTATATCTTTGTGCACGGTGATGTTGTGTCCATGTGTGTGTGATCGAAGAACATCTTTCAGCGTGTCTAAAAACAGAAAAACAGTAAATTATGATACAAGAATAAGATGCATAAAAAAAGAAAATGAAAAAGTTCTTACCATCAGAGATTTCGGGAAATATTCACTTGTATGATAAACGGCCACTTCATCCTCTTTGTGGTAAAGTTGGGGAATGAGATCCTTCTCCTTCCCAAATGTTCCTACAAAAAACACAAAGACAAATGAACTTCTCTCTTTCTCACTATTACCTAAGGTCAACATTATTACCTTATCACACAGTCTTTCTTCCCAAACAGTGTTACCAGAAGAGCAAAGGACCTGACCTAGCCTAGACTAGCCGGAAGCTCAATCCTCATAACAGCTGTTTGGAAAGAAAGGTCGGCCAAATGTCCAGTGAGTAAACGTGTCGCGTCCAGGTGGTCACAATTGGGAGTCAAATCTGAGGGTCACGTCCGAGTAAGAGAGGTCATGTCCAGGAAAAGGTGTCGAGTCCAGGTGAAAAGTGTAATCTGGTAAGAATGTCGCATCCAAATGAAGAAGGGGAAAATTGAAGAGGATTGCCGCTTAGGTCGAGGGACCAGCAGCCGTCTGCAGCAACAAAACCAGACACCACGGTCCCAAGATTAGGGCAGCTCTCTCCTCTGATTCCTCCCCGTTCCGACTTCAGCAAGGCAGTGGCGTTGCCGTGGTGGACGAACAGAAAGAACGTGACCAACCAGAAAATGTCAACTCAGATAAGCCGTCACTTTCTACATCTTCCACAACAAGGTCTGTGGCCAGATGACCCCGAAGATCTTGGCCAAGTGTGTTGGACCCAGAGTGTAGCGCGGCATAATCCCGACTCCAGGATAATGCCACACCACGCACACTCGGGGAAGGTCTTCTTCACCCGTGCCTCTTGCTCGTTGAACCCCCGCTCCTCCATCTATTCGGGCGCAATACGAGTCCAACAGACTCGTTCCGCGCCGTCCGAGGAACCCTCTCCCTCTGCCGCCACCGCCTCCAAAACTGCACCAACCTCTTCATTCTGTAAAAAAGAAAATTTGCAATTAGTCCAGTGAAAACAAAAGCTTAAATTAATAAAGCAAAAAGCTCACCGCAGCTGCCTTTTTAAATTTAAAACATTCGAATCGAAAACGAAAACGGTCGAACGATGGTCCGAGATGTCTTCTAGCGATGATTCTTCCGGCAATATTAGAGAGATTGCGGCCGACGTTTTCATCGCGAAAACGTGTACGTCGGACGTTCAGCGCCGCCTTCCTGTAAGCCTAGAAGTTTGACAACGATGTTTGGATAGTCAGTGGAATCATGCTGGACATTCCAAACGCCATTGTCAAACATTTAGGCTTACAGGAAGGAGGCGCTGAACGTCCGACGTACACGTTTTCGCGATGAAAACGTCGGCCGCAACCACTCTATTAAATAAATTCTTACGTCTAGGGTCAATATGGACTAAGACAAAATCTCTTTTCTTCTTCCTCGAACTCCGCAAATTGCAAAAAAGGTACACAATTCACCACCGCAAGAAAAACACGTCCGACTCTGAACAGAAACACAATCGAACTGCGAGTCGTCACGTGTGACGAATTTCAAACAAACGTTAAAAGACGCGTCAACGATGGATCGATTTTCGTAAATATTTGAATTAAAAAAAAAATAAGGTAATTTTTTTAAATTTTTTTTATGAATAATTTATAATTTTTTTTCTTTTAATTTTGCTTCAATCATTTTCTTGTATTCGGAATTTGATAAATTATTTTCTGCATTTACATGAATGTCCACCGGTACTTCCACCGCTTCTATGGACGACACGCCGCTGCAATTAGCGGCACGAAATTTTCAGTAATAGTTTTTTCAACTTTTTCTGTCTTGTGGTCATTAAGAGGGTTTCTTTTAGCAAGCCCACAATGGGACGGTCGGATGATGAGGGACGAGGCCCGACATATCTGGACCGACCATCTTTCGAAAAATTTTCTTCGATTTTTCCGGGTCTTTTAGAGCGTGCACTTACGTGTATTTCATTTCGATAAATATGTTTTTGTAAATTTCTTTTCTAGTATCATTTTAAAACATTTTGTAGGATTTTTACGTGTATTGTGGGATTTCGTTCGAAAATTCTTGACAGTCCCACACGATGGGAGATAGTTAGCAACGCTAGTTATTTCGATTCAAAAATTTTCTCTTGAACGGCATGATTCTATCGTTAACAGAAAAAGTATGATGTATGGGCAAGTCACTACTAAATTGAGAGCACCGTGACGGAAAATTACAGCCGGCATTGTGACGAAGTCACTATAAACAATAGTTTGTGTATAAATGAATTTAAACATTTAAAAATAAATTTTCGATAAAATAACAAATAAATATAAATTTATATGTTTATTCGATCGTATTTTTTTCTAAAATATATTTCAGTCGCGATATAAATTCGACATGATTTTAGTTAAAGTTGGTGAGAGGGCGCTGTTTCAATATGGCCGAAGGTTTAATTAATAACAGAATATAAAGGGTTAGTTTTTAAATATTATTAGAAATTAAACCTGTTTATGTGTATTATAACACACGATATATCGACATATATACAACTAATAAGTTAAATATATTGAATTATTTATTTATTTGGACAAGTGTCTACGATACGCACGTGAGAAGTTATAGCGATTTAAAATATTTATGCCAACAGATGGCGCTACGGGTTATAGTAACTTTTTTAGTAAATAAATTAATTAGATTTAAGAATAATAATTTTTAAAATGACGTAAAAAAAGTATTAAGCAATTTTGAACTTTTTCTGTCAATCTCCTAAAATTCATATCTCGGGAATCGAAAAATTATAAAATGTGAGCTCAAATTTCACGCGTGTTTGAAGATTCCGACCTTTAAAGTGTTTTGAAGGTCACTACTGTAAATGCTGTAAATGCAAGCATTTACAGTAGTGACCTTCAAAACACTTTAAAGGTCTGGGAACACTCCAAAGTGAACTGATTGACTTCAAATTCTTGGTCGCGTGTAAGAATTCAAAGTCAGTCAGTTTACTTTGTAGTATACTGATGTATACTGTAGATTATTTAGAATAAATGATAACAAGGAGACTGACGTATGATTTAAAGACTTTCTTGGTTCGGCTTTGGACTGTAGGGGTATTTAGGATTACCACGCGTCCGTATTTTAAAAGCTGTGCCCGTGTCTATACCGTACTTAGAAAAAATAAGCAAAATGTTCATACTTTTGAAGCAGTCGTGCAGTTCAAAAGTACGAACAAAAAAACAAATTGTACTGGGATTGTCAGCTGTGAACTTTTAGACTGTTTTGCATTTTTTTGCAGAGGCGTAGCCTCTAAAGAAAAAATCTCATCTCTGCATTGGAAGATAGTTGTTCCTGGTGATTAGACATGATGAAAAAGTTAAGACATTTTTAATCTCTGTTACATTTTATTAAGATTTGATTTATATTTTTTTGGATGTTTTGTTGGTCTCGGCTCAATTCTCTAATCGATGTAGATTCCATATAATTGATAACCGTGTAAAATTAAATAAGATTTTACATAGTTAGTAATTATTGTTTCTGCTTAAATGTGACAAACACACTAGTACAAATGTATATACAAATATCTAAGAGTTTATTTTTCATCCATAGCACTAGTGGCTACATAAGCAGTCATCGAGGATAAATGTATGTTTACACATTCTAATTTGAGTCCTCCTAATTTCAGTTCTAATCAGTTCTAATCACACTAATGGACATTTGTTTATACAATGTTTGGACTTTTATCATCAGTCTATTCTAATATCAATAAAATGATGATTTATATTTATTAATCTATCCATACTTGATGCAATTTGACCATCTTGATTGAGAAGAAAGCGATATCTTATATTACAGAAATAAAGTAGTATAATAATAATGTTTATTTAAAAAAATAAGCAAAATAGTTTGTTACATAACTTAACTATTGACATCGATCAATCTTTGGATTTCAAAACTGACCATTCGACAATTTAAATAAATAAAACTTATGATTGAATTGTTGAGAAATAGTTCTTAGGCAGAAAGTGTTCAAATTTTTATAATTTTTGAGCTAAATAATTGGATGAAGCCTGTTAGAAGAGTTTTAAATTAATTGAATCATAGAACATTAGATTATTTGAGGAATTTATTAGATGATTATTAGATATGGTATTAACAAATAAACTATACANATTTGTGTCCTGTTAAATATTTTTATATATATTTAGTTAGCTGAAGAGGGGCTGATGCCCGAAACGTTGATGTATGGGAAAAACGTTCTAACTAAATAAAAGATTCAACTAGCCCAGTGTTGAGAAAAACGTCACTTCATTGTGCCAGTACACAATAAGCAAATACAACACGGTTTCGACAACATCAATTCTCTTTTCATTTTTTTAAGGTCTAAGTTATCAAGAATTAGAAGAAAAGGTCGAAAAGGAACCAGCTGTTGTCGTTTGTTGGAAATAATGTTTATAAAAAAAAAGTGAATTTAAATTTGTATATTTATAAAGCAAAAATTTGAATATTGTCAATATGTACAGGACTCCAGATGGAGTTGCTTTTTAGTAAATAGTTACTTTTTTACATATTTAGTTACCATAATTATTTTTTCATTAAACAGTTAAAACAAAATTAAAACTATTACAGTGAAACCAAGTCCAAGTTGAAACCTGTTAAAGAAGGAATCCTGCTTGTGGTGGAAATTTTTGTCGATCTGAATGTGGTCTATAAAATTTTAATGTTAATTAGAATTGCATGAAGCTGTTTAATATGGAAACAGAACAAAAATATTGTCCTCAATCTAAAAAATATTGAAGATTACTTTGCTTATGTTTACATTATGATATTTTTTCCCCATCCCCTCTGGTATTCAACTTTATTTAGAAGGTATGACAGGAGAAGCTATAAAATATCACAAGATTAATTTACAGTCGTTTTCCTTTGATTTAAGCTTATAATTTTCTTTTAAATTGGACTTGTGTGTTCTTGTATCTTTTGATACAAGAACACACAAGTTGGCACTAGAAACCAAAACCAAAGTTAGAGCAGTGCAATTTTGCCTTAAATTAAAAAAAATAATAATAATAAATATAGTGATAAAAGAAACATATAACAATCTTTTTATTCATTTAGGAAAAAATGTATTCAATCATAGCCATAGATTGGTGCCACAAACTTCTTGCATTATAGCAGTCTGTTAGTGTTTCTTTCTGTCAGATTGTTTAGCTCCTTTAAAAAATTTTTTTTTGCATTATGCAGTAGAGATCCAATCACTCACAATGCATATCTTTCACGATGGTTACATGTCAAACTTTGGATGAACTTATCCAATCTTTTAAAGATACTGAAATCGATCATCCTGAGTGGACTACTGATGGAGGAGGATATCAAGTTTTTGAGATGGAAAGATCAGGATTGTTTTGGACTGTTAGCTGCCCGAGTGCTAGAGATATTTGGCCGCTCCTACCAATGCTGATCGCAACTAAATTCAAAATCTAAGCCAACGCATGAGAGCCTACTAATATGTTGAGAGGGGTAAAAAATCCATTAAAATATTTTATTCGAATCAAGCCAATAATACAAGCCTTTGTTCAAAGTTATATTTCTGTGCTGCCATAAAATAAGTTGCAAATTCAAATGAAATTTTTCTTACGTATTATATTTATATACTAAATATGTGTATATAAAAATTTATTTAAATTAACAATGTTGGTGGTTTATTTAAATTGGGCTACAATTTGAAAAAGTTTTAGACCTATAAATTTCCACTGTCGTCCGTCCTTAATATAGAGAACAGAGTTAGATGAAATCCGAGACCAGATATGAAAACTTTAGGGACAGGATAGACGTCCCTAATTAACTATACATAATTCAAAAAGTTCTCCCCTAAAAGAAGTTAGATAATAACTGGCAGGAGTCTGTTGATTATTATATTTACATTATGAAAAATTATATATTTTGTGCACTATCCACTTGCAGGCACGCACTGCATACCTACCAAAACAGGCCCAGAGTCGTTCCAAACAAGATTTCTCGGCCTTCCCTACCACACTTCCCATCCACCTATCCTACGTGTTATACACATAACCATTGGCCCAAAATTGGCTAGATTGATTGTAATCCGGCCAGCCAGTCCACTAAAGTGTTAGAAATAATTGGCTATTAAGTTCCTAAAACACATCGTGAACAAAATGGCACACTTCGAATATCAATTTCTCACCGAAATAATATATTATGTCAGAGATATGGTACATTCAAGACCAACTGAAAACAATTTATGTCAGGGGTGGCCA